CTGGAAAGATGTCTGTGCGACACATACCTGAACGCCCGCTGACACGCTTCGTGGACCAATTAAAGGAACTCACTGGTTTAACGGTCGCTGAGATGGTACATCGAGTTCAAGATAGAGATGGCTGGTGTCACATCGTGTTTGGGATGTAATACGTACAGTGTACGTTCGATCGCGAATAAAATGATTTACTATATATAAAGGAAACATTCGTGTTCTCATCCGAATATCTTCCTGAGTATCTGAGACACATCTCGAGGAGAGACATAGCGGTGGAAGTGGAGTGTTCCACTATTCTGCATGTTCCTTTAAGCCGGCGGGTAGGAAGGGAGGGGCGGTGGTGGGGGGGGATGCGAGCGTAGCAGCTGTCTCGGCCTTTGCAGCCGTTGGGCACATCTGGGCGGTTACCATAGCAACGTTGCTCCCGGCACATGTGTGGAACACACGGCTTGCCTCGATACCTGCGCTATTGCCTCTTCATCATTACACTACGACGATCATTCTTTATAAACATTCCTTATAAAGATAACATACAACCATTGTATTTCTCTCTAAGAGAAAAATGACAAAAACTATAACAAGAGTTAGAACAAAACATTATAAAGGAATGACAATACATCCAGATGGCACAAGAACCTATAGGATATGTAGCAACTGTCCTGGTGTGGAACTAACACCTACCCACATATTCTCATACCCAGCAATGGCCGCAACCTTGCAGAAAATTGACATGGACCCAGAACAACAGCTTTACACACCCAAGATAGAATACATTGCGACTGCTGTAATAGAGATGTATGGAGAGATCTGAGACTCTTCATTGGAAACGGCAACAACAACAGAAAATTGACATAGACCCAGAACAGCAGCTTTACACACCCAAGATAGAAGACACTGCTGCTGCTGTGATAGAGATTCATGGAGACATCTGAGGCTCTACATTGGACACGACAACAACAACAGAAAATTGACATGGACCCAGAACAGCAGCTTTACGCACCCAAGATAGTGGACATTGCGACTGCTGTGATAGAGATGCATGGAGACATCTGAGGCTCTTTATTGGACACGACAACAACAGAAAATTGACGTGGACCCAGAACAGCAGCTTTACACACCCAAGATATAGGACATTGCTGCTGCTGTAATATAGATGTATGGAGATATCTGAAACTCTTCATTGGACACGACAACAACAACAGAAAATTGACATGGACCTAGAGCAGCAGCTTTACACACCCAAGATAGTGGGCATTGCAACTGCTGTGATAGAGATGTATGGAGACATCTGAGGCTCTTCATTGGACACAACAACAACAACATTGTATTTCTCATTAAGTTATAACCATTATGACATTCTTACTCTAAATATAGATGCAAATAATATTATAATTAAATAAATATAAAAATATTTGTAGAGTTTCTTTTATAATACAATATAATGCGGCTTATGATTGTAAAAAGACGTTTTTGACAAGTTTTACCGCAAATGTTTCTTTTGAACGAAAAATCGTAATTTATTTTAAGGAGAAATGACGACTATTTCTATCTTTAGGGATGAAGTATGAAAGGATGAATTGTGAAGAGTAATGATGAACGGAAAAATAAAAGTGTCCAGGGATGGGAATCGAACCCACAGTGTTCTGCTTACTGGGCAGATGCCATGTCCACTAGGCTACCCTGGACACTTTAATTTTTACTCTTCAACATGATTTCTACATGTGTGGCCATGTGGTGTACTTACAGTAAAATCAATCGCTAACTAACCACCATGATTATCATGGCCATTTATACTGGGGATATGTAACACCCTCACTTCTTTCTATTATGACATAGTGTGAATAATGACACCCTGGCCATCCTGACATCTACCAAGACACACATCTATAAGTACTTCCTCGGTGTGGAACTGAGGAGTGTTCAACCTTGTCTGGAGGAGAACTCTCTCAAAGTGGGGAAGACTTCCTTGCTGAGGAAATTTGTATATATACAACTGTATTCCCTACATTTTATTTACCTCATTATTATCGCCAACATATCCAATAAACAACAAAGATTTATCATGGAATCTATCATATCCAGAAAGCACAATAGCATTAACAGCAGAGAGAGAATATACTTTCCAGAAATTTATAATATAATATTTCCTGAACCCACCCCATAACCTCCAAATGAAGATATCGCTTCTGAATAAAAGCAAAGTCGATAAGTACGCGTAAATGGATACTCACGTTGATTCTGTATTCAAATTACTGTAAACAACTGAATCATTTTATTTGATTTTAATTCTTATTCTATTGACAGTTCAATGTAAAATATTTTCTCCTGTAGAAGGGCTTTCTTGCACGAAAGCTATATATATTTATAAATACAAAAATTGTAAAAAAGAAAAAAAATCCCTGGAGGTTTATGTTTGTATTTAATTACCATTATTATGTAATACCCTTCATTTATTCATAGTTTTTGTCTGTTGGTATGTTTCTATTATAGGTTGAAGATTAAAAGTTATTTTATATTTTATAAGAAATTACACTTTATATATTTAGATATCTTTAAAAGAAAAATAAAAGATGCGAAATTTTATGCTACACTATAATTATTTTATTATTTCACAATTCTTGCACATATACACATTATAAACAAAGTCGTTAATAATAATGATTATGATAAACGTTTGATTCATTTCGAATCAAAACAGAGTAAAGTAATAATATATCACTGATATATTATCTTTAAACAAAACAGATCATCTGTAACAATTGATTAGTAGTGAATAATTCAGTTTATAATGTTAAATTTCTATCTTAATATCACCAACACTGCCAGTAAATACATGTAAATAAACGAATCTACTTGTTAATTGTGTTTTTCTACACGTAATGTAGCTCCCCATGTGTAACCTGCCATTTTATGACACATACTACCATGTAAACAATGCAGTGTTTACATCAAATATTGTAACAAGTGATAAATAGAGAAAAGGTTCATCTTTATGTAACAACTGCATCGATTTACCATTTCAACTTTTATGGAGAATGTTATCGTAACTTTTATAACTTCCCACAAATTCTGTGAATTTAAAAAATAATATTTGACCATTTAATACATAATATAAAGGATTTTAATCCCAATCACAGACAATGATATAATTTTATTATCTTATTATGATTTAAAACAATATTAGAAATCGGTTTTAATAAATAAAAAACGTACCTTTAGTTTATAGAAAAATAACAACTTGTTCTAAAATTCTGTGAATTTCAATATTAATATTTGACCATTTAATACACAATCCGAAGGATTTTCTTCACAATCAGACAATGATATAATTTTATTATCTTATTATGATTTAAAATAAGGTTATAAATGGGTTTAATAGATAGAAAACGTACTTTTAAGTCTTGAGAAAGGATTTTTTAAGGTGTAAAAGTGTTCGAATATTAAAATAATATGTTTTGTTATTTGCACTACTAAATTTTGTAAAACTAAGTCGCTTTTTTAATCTTTTAGGGAATGATTTAAAAATTAGATGAGAATTTTTTTAAATTTCATAAATACCAAAAAAAATAAAAAATCCCTAACTGAAAATGCATTTAAAATTATTTCACGTATTCGATCAAGACTTAAATAGATATGATTGAATAAATATTATTAAAGAACATTTTAAATTTAATGTTTTTATATAAAAAAATAAAAAATCCTATTTCTTTCTCAAATCTTTTTTTTTATCCTTACCTCCCTCTTCCCTCAATAATAATAAAAAAAAAAATAATAATTCCAAAGAATATATATATACGGGATTTTTGTCTAAAATTACAAATTTCAAAACACATTAGAAATACGTATTAAAAAACCATTATAAAAATAAATTCACACCAAATTCAATAAAACAAATAAATCTCTGTGAATAAATAAATAAATAAAAAACGATTACACATACAAAAAAAAATTAAAATTATAAATAAAGTTTTAAAAAAATAATAATATTTTTGATTATCCATCTCTAGATATTTGCTTTTTTTTTCTTGGAGCGTGGCTAGATTTTTCTGTGAGAGAAATTAAACGAGGGGAATTTGAGCTGAAGAAAAATCCAGGCGCCAGGTGGCGTAGCTGCCTTGATTCCTTTGCCCACCGTTTATTACACTGTGCAACAGCGGTGCCTCCAATTTGTACAACTTTTTTTTTTCTTTCCTTATCCCTGCTGCCACCGCCATCTGCATTTGATAGGCTTCTACGATGTCCCTCTAATAAGGCTTCGCATCAAAACCAGACGCGTTTGTTTAGAAATTGATAAAGGATTCGGCAACGCTGCCATCACTGATTAAAAAAAAAAAAAGAAAAACTTTTGTTTTGATCCCACTTTTTTTTTATTTCTTGTATAAATAACGCTGTTGTTTTAAGTTTAGGCTGTTGTGTGAAAAATTTAATTATTTTTCGTCTTTTTTGTGTGTTAACGTGTGTAATTGATTTTTATTGATTTTATATATATATTTTTTATAGTTGATAGAAACGGCTGCGCTTGTTAAAATTTTTATTTTTATTTTTGAAGTGAGCTCTTAGTTTTGATTATCTATCTATTAATATAGGAATATGTCACGATCCACTTTATGCCAATCATTTTTTAAAGTTATTAATTATACATTTTTAAGGAGGGTTTTTTTAAGAGACAATATGAAAATGTAAACTAGCTTCCCTCAAAGGATATTATACAGAACGAATTTCCTTTTGTGGCCATTGTCAAAAAACATAATATATTCCTAGAATCTTCTGAAGATTGTCTCTCATTAAAAAGTTGTGGTTAGTTCACTTTGAAAATTTTTCCAAGTATTTAAAAAAAAGGTAATTTTGAATTTGTAGAACGGAATTTGACAATTCTACCGCAAATGTTTCTTTTGAACGAAAAATCTAAATTTATTTTAAGAAGAAATAACAATTATTTCTCACCTTAGGGATGAAGTATGATAGAATGAATTGTAAAGAGTAATGATAAACGGAAAAATAAATTGCCCAGGGATGGGAAACGAACCCACAGTGTTCCGCTTACCAAGCAGATGCCATGTCCACTAGGCTACCCTGGACATATTTTTCCGTTCGTAAATAATACATAAAGTATAATATAATGCGGTTTGTGATTGTAAAACGACATTTGAAATATACTATCTCGCATGTGTTTCTTTTCAACGAAAATTCTAAATTTATTTCAAGGAGTCTTTTATTTTTCCGTTTATCATTACTCTTCACAATTCACCCTTTTATACCTCATCCAAAAGGTTAGAAATAATCGTTATTTCTCCTTGAAATGAACTTGGAATTTTCATTGAAAAGAAACACATGCGGGATAGTATTTCAAATGTAATTATATATATTAATTTATAATACAATATGATGTGGGTTTATGATAATATATATGAAAATATAATTTTGAATTTGACAAAGGGCCATGGCATCTGCCCGGTAAGCGGAACATTGTGGGTTCGATTCCCATCCCTGGATACTTTTATTTTTCTGTTCATCGTTACTCTTCATAATTCACCCTTTCATACCTCATCCAAAAAGGTTAGAAATAGTCAATATTTCACTTTGAAATAAAATTTTGATTTTTCATTGAAAAGAAACTCATGCGGTGTAACTTCAAGTGTCGTTTTACAAAGTTCTTTGCTTTTCAATGGGCATCTCATGGAATATTTGGCAGTATAGCCATGTTATCAAAAGAAAAAAATCGTAGGTCGAAGATTTCTTGCAAGGTTTTTTATTCAGCCACGTTTTCTCTAGCATTACCTTTTATTCCTGTAAAAAGGCAGAAATGCTTATGCTTTATAATGATAGATCGACTGAATAATCATTTAAAAAAAAACCTAAAAGAAAAACTCTTTGCGTTACGAGATTTTTTTTTCTTTTGATAATATACTTTTCCAGAGATGATTTTGATATGGTAATAAACATATATTAACATTGGAGATCATACACCGTTAGAAAATTAAAAGAAGGAACAAAAATTATTATAACTCATTGTAAATAACTCAACTTGATCAACTTTCTCTCTCCACGATACTAATTATTACAGATAACTTCATCAACTTCCATCATTGCTTTACATATTGTAAAAAACTACCTTGCGATTTCTTCTATCTGCTTATGTTGTTGCTTATTTGTTTAATGGATATGTTTATTTAATGCTCTTTTTCTTAATTGTTTATTTTCTTTTTGATAATTCTGTTACCTACTCTACTACAATTATTGTAAATAGTTTCACGAGCAATTATCCAGATAGGATATAGCATGTTTTATTTGCAACTGGTAATAAATAAGGAAAAATATTAAAATGATAGCAATAATTATTATTTATAACGTTTCCTATTCAGAAATAAGAGATAGTTACAATACTTTGTGTATTAATATTGTAACATAGAAAATAAGGAAAGACAAACCTCAGAATTTCACGGTAATCTATTTAATGTAAAACCCAATTAAATCTAATACAACAGCAGAGAGGTAATGAGCAAGTTTTAGAGTCTATTAAAATACAAAAATATCGAAATTAAAAATCTTTTCATAGAATAATAAATAATCTGCTACATTATTTGAATAAATTACAACAAGGATAATCAAAATAGAGTTAAACCTGTCTATGGCGCCCCCTCTTGGGACTCACCAAAATAGGGTGCTATAGAGAAGGGTGCTATAGACAGGTCACTTTTAATGTAAATCGCATCGTACTACGTATTTAAAATTGGGCGCTATAGAGAGGGAGGCGCTATTTAGAGGGGGCACTATAGACAGGTTTAACCGTATATATATATATTTATTCCTTTACCATGTCTATACGCTCTTTTTATCTGAAGATGGGCTTGGATCTGAAAGTTACTGTAATTCTGTTTTACCATAATAAAAACAGTTGGGGGGGGGGGGGGGGGGGGGGGGGGGTTATAGACAGGTTTAAACTGTATATAAACAAAAAATATCTTATGCAAAATTAAAGAAAGAAAGTACAGTGTTGCCGACTGCCTAAATATGAAGAAAAAATCATTGAATAATTCAATATTTTATATAAATAAATACAAAGCATGTTACATTATAAAAATAACTACGTTTTGAAAAATATCGATTATTAATATCGAAACCTCAAGAAAGTGCGATATTTTAACCTGTGATTAGTTTGTATTAATTTACCTTAATGACTGCAAGATACTCTTTCTTTAATTATAAGTGTCCAAACGTTATTCTGGTACTTTGAATGTTCGATGCAAATGTTTAAACGTGATTCTACTGTCCTAAAAGCTTATGTCCATAGTTTACTTAAATACCATTTTTCTAAGATTGCACCCTTCAGTGTAGCATATATAAGCAGAATGATCCAATACAGTATTAGAGTTCTAAAGAAGCGGTCTGGTAGATTAAATTGGCGAAACTTCTGGGAGAGTTCACCACTGATGAGCCAAGTCCTCCCAATGTTTTTCTATCGCAGTAAGGACAGTAGAAGTTTGATTTATTTGTGAAAAGAAACATTCACATCTTAATCTCTTCATTAGTTATATATAGATGGCGTGTTATTGCTTTGTATTAACATGTGTGAATACACCCATACCTCGCTTTGCGTCGGGGTTAAGTTAAAAAAACACGACGCAAATTGAAACGACGCAAAGTGAAAATATGTGAAGGCGCAATCAAAAACAAAGGTGTTGCCATATTTTAGAAAAAAAAAAAGAAAATTCAAAAAAAAAAAAATTATAATAATAATTAAAGACTCGAATCCAAAACAATGCAACATCGAAAATCTAACGACGCACAGTGAAAATCAGTAAAAATTAAGCAGCGACGCAACTTCGAAAAAAAACGCAAACGAAACAACGAAAAGCGAGGTATTGGTGTATGTAGTGTATATACAGTCTTATATCTACAATGGTGTATTAGGCTTATGTAAAAATAGTTATCAATATATACGTATTTTGTACAGTAGGTTTCTGAGCATCTATAGGTACTTCCTCAGCGTGGAACTGAGGAGTGTTCAACCTTGTCTGGAGGAGAACTCTCTCAAGGTGGGGAAGTCTCCCTTGCTGAAGAAATTTGTATATATACAACTATACAACAGCAACAAAAAACCTTTATTAAGACACTATTGTCTTACAAGGGGATTCCCCTAAAAGGTTATATATGTACATGAGTGAGGAGGAAAAGCAATTTAGAAGGGAGGGGGAGCAATCAGCCATTGTCTGTGAAGTTGAGCACTTCTTCCCTCATTTTATCAATCGCCTTGAAAAATTTTAAATATTTATAAACAAATGTTTTATCCAGCAGGAGAGTAGTGAAGATTTTATATACATGTTGTTTATTGTAGTGAGTTAGCCCCGAAATTTCGATATGCAATTATATCGTTATTTCTCCTAGAAATAAATTTTGAATTTTCGCTGAAAAGAAACACATGCGGGATAGTATTTCAAATGTCGTTTTACAATCACAAACCGCATTATATTATATTGTATTATAAATTACTTTATGTATTATTTACGGACGGAAAAATATGTCCAGGGTAGCCTAGTGGACATGGCATCTGCCCGGTAAGCGGAACACTGTGGGTTCGATTCCCATCCCTGGTCACTTATTTTTCCGTTTATCATTACTCTTCACAATTCACCCTTTTATACCTTATCCGAAAGGTTAGAAATAATCGTTATTTCTCCTTGAAATAAATTTTGAATTTTCGCTGAAAAGAAACACATACGGGATAGTATTTCAAATGTCGTTTTACAATCACAATCCGCATTATATTATATTATACAATTATATATATATTTTTTCCATACATTTTATCTACCCTTTATTTATTCCTTTATTATATTTATTTGATCTTATGTTAAGAGATTGATTAGAAGAATCAGTAGAATTGCTTGAATTGTCTATTATCTAGTATTGAGCCCAGATTGTAGGGAAGTGTGGCGTCCTGAGAAAGCCCCTGCAGGCCCCTGGAAAGGGCGGTTCTGGAGGAAAAGGAAGAAGCCGCCCAACGGAAACCGTTCCCTGAAAGTTCTTTCTGCTGGCCAGGGAAACTATATCCGGTATGATTGCTGTCGACACTCCAATCGTGTTAAGAATGGTTCACAATAGTTCCACGGCACTCTACACCGAACTCCCATCGTGTTAGGAATGGTTCACAATAGTTACACGGCACTCTACACCGAACTCCCATCGTGTTAGGAATGGTTCACAATAGTTCCACGGTACTCTACACCCAACTCCCATCGTGTTAGGAATGATTCACCATAGTTCCACGGCACTCTACACCCAACTCCCATCGTGTTAGGAATGGTTCACAATAGTTACACGGCACTCTACACCGAACTCCCATCGTGTTAGGAATGGTTCACAATAGTTCCACGGCACTCTACACCGAACTCCCATCGTGTTAGGAATGGTTCACAATAGTTACACGGCACTCTACACCCAACTCCCATCGTGTTAGGAATGGTTCACAATAGTTACACGGCACTCTACACCCAACTCCCATCGTGTTAGGAATGGTTCACAATAGTTACACGGCACTCTACACCCAACTCCCATCGTGTTAGGAATGGTTCACAATAGTTACACGGCACTCTACACCCAACTCCCATCGTGTTAGGAATGGTTCACAATAGTTACACGGCACTCTACACCCAACTCCCATCGTGTTAGGAATGGTTCACAATAGTTACACGGCACTCTACACCCAACTCCCATCGTGTTAGGAATGGTTCACAATAGTTACACGGCACTCTACACCCAACTCCCATCGTGTTAGGAATGGTTCACCATAGTTACACGGCGCTCTACACCGAACTCCCATCGTGTTAGGAATGGTTCACAATAGTTACACGGCACTCTACACCGAACTCCCATCGTGTTAGGAATGGTTCACAATAGTTACACGGCACTCTACACCCAACTCCCATCGTGTTAGGAATGGTTCACAATAGTTACACGGCACTCTACACCGAACTCCCATCGTGTTAGGAATGGCTTACAATTGGTTTCCAAAGTTCGGACTGAACTTCCATTGAGTGGTGCATGCAAGCTTGAAAGAACACGCCATCTCCTCGTTGGCAAATGCTCCCTTCATCTATAACGTCGATCCATCGAACTTTGTTGAACATCGCTCCCCTATACCAGGTTGGAAACATGCCACACGTGTTTCTACTATACCACATGGCAGCACGTAGTAGTGTACAGAGTGGGTCAGGCCAGAGATTACGTTCGCGATTCTACCCCGCGATGATAGAAATTATCTAAAAAAAAAAAAATCTCTCGCCTGAACACAAGATAATTCTTGTCGAATTCCTCAACACTGTCATCGAGCATGCTGGGGACATGGATTCCATAATCCGCAACGACCTGTCTGAACTCAAGGTGGCTTTAAGCTCCTGTTGAAATCCAGACGTACCTTCGGAGGGGGCTTCGTCTCTAGTATATATTTCTCCCTATTTTAAAAATGGCTGTAAACCTTCTCCCTACTGTTGACTAGATGTCAATAAACTGTTTTTAATTGTCAATTGTCACATGGTGCACGTATCGTACAGATTTCCTATTCAAAACAAAATGAAATTTCAGTAAAATACTTTCTACTATAGTTGTCAGAAGAGAATCTTTCCCTCCCAATACACCTTCTTATTTACAATGGTAGCGATGCTGAAGCTGATAAGGGAGGAGGAAAGTCGTCTGACCACATCTCCCTGCGGTCCCCCCCTGGACTCTTGGAATATTTGACCAAATTCTGGTCCAAGTTGACTAACCTGGCAACGGTACCTATTTTCTAATGAAGTTCAATGGACATTGCGACTGCGGTGATAGAGATGTATGGAGACATCTGAGGCTCTTCATTAGACACGACAAGAGAAAATTGACATGGACCCAGAACAGAAGCTTTACATACCCAAGATAGTGTGCATTGTAACTGCTGTAATAGAGATGTATGGAGACATCTGAGGCTCTTCATTGGACACGACAACAACAACAACAGAAAATTGACACGGATCCAGAGCAGCAGCTTTACACATCCAAGATAGAGGCTATTGCGAATGCTGTGATAGAGATGTATGGGGATATCTGAGGCTCTTTATTGGACACGACAACAACAACAGCAATGCTGATATACCAAAACACATCAATACAGTTTACCTATTAAGATTCCACACTTCAGTGTAGCATATAAAAGCAAAATGATCCAATACAGTATCAGAGTTCTAAAGAAGCAGTCTGGTAGATTAAATTGTTGAAACCGTTGGGAGGGTTTACCACTAATCAGCCAAGCGTTCCCAATATTTTTTCATCGCAGTAAGGGCTGTAGAAGTTTGATATATGTTTGAAAGAATTTTTGTTCGTTCCTGACGAGGACAAAATATTTTTGTTGAAACGTCGAGATAATAAAAAGATTTACTGACCGAAGTATCTTTAATTTGAAGAACTATGAATACCGGCCAGGTAACCTCTATCCAGATGTGTGTATAGTTGAAATTGGATTTGTAAATAGGTGCGTTTAAAACTGACAATCACTAGATAGGTCACACGTATTGATGAAATTTTTTCTATTTGAATCCATTCTAGTATAGAGGAATTGAAGAGTGTCGGTTGAAGGATGGTCTATACCATTGGTTTTCGACCTCTACGACCCAGGATCGAATCCCGAATTGGCCAATTTTTTTCTGATTAAAAAAAAAAAATTCTCCAATGACCCCCGATTCTTGCAAAAGTCCAACCCAAACAGCGAGTGCAAGTAACCAAACGGGGTTATGGCACATTTCTAAATGCAAAGTCGAACTGTTTTTCACATGTGTAGACATGTGGTATACTTACAGTAAAAGCAGTCGCCTAATTCTACCTACAAAGATTATCATGGTCTGTACCACATGTACTAGGGATAAGTAAAAAAAATATATATGTCGTAAACCCGGGTAAGCCAACAAGTGAGTTGGAGTCCAGGGTAGCCTAGTGGACATGGCATCTGCCCGGTAAGCGGAACAAGTGAGTTGGAAGCAGTCGGGGTTGAGTGGCAAGGAGTGCAGAGTGGGAAGTCCGCACGGGACAGTAAGGACAAAGTTTGGGATCAAAATACGCTCTCCTAGTACGTCTCACGTGGCACCAGGGGAAAGTTGAGGATTAACTGAGGAAAGCTCGGCGTCCTGCATGAAGCCGCGGAGGCAGGGAGGAACCAAAACGGCGGCCACGAGGGCCGCCGTGAGACCTCGCACTGAGCCGTCTGTCCGAAAATATCCACTGTAACCTAACTAACCGTCAGAATCCGGACCAACGCCCCTCCTTTGTCCCTCTCTGGATTCCCGAGTGTCCGGTGGCAAGCTGGTGTCACTTTGAGATGACTAGAAAAGACGTCATACTTTATTACTTACATATCACATTGTTTAAATTACGATTTATATATATATTGTGGATTTGTGGAGACGTAACAACAAAAGGACACAAAAAATGCAAATAGAACAAAAAAACTGGTAGAAATTGGAATGAAAAAAAAAGGTAGAAGAAGGTGGTGGAGACGACGTGAGGTGATGGAAGGGCCATCGGTTGCTATGACAACGTGGCCACAGATGGCGGCGACAGATGCGGCGTTCCAGCGGTGTAATTAATGGCGGGTGTAGTCCGGAATTAAACGGCGCGGACTTTTCTGTCTGGACCTTTAAACTGGACCTCCCACATCTTAGACAATTTTATTGATTCTTTTAATCAAATTTTTGAGGATTCAAGTTGCTTTTGTGGTATTGAGGAACAAACCTCAAGACATCTACTGATCGATTGCCCAGCATTTCAAGATTATAGAATGAAGAATGAACTAGTTGTTTGTGAACTTAACGATTTGATTTCCGATAAAAAAATCATATTTAAAGTTCAATTCATTTTATAAATACATTCTAAACTTTCTACAAAATCTGGATCTCTAATGTTTTCATGCGTTGAATAATGTAAATAACTTATGTAAATAAACTTTTCTCCTTGTTTGGCGCAAGTATCCCTTGCGGGATATAGTGCTTTGGAAATAAAATAATAATACAAAGGTATAATAAAAGAGTAAAAGGGTATATAAAGTGTAGGGGAATATATATATATAGTTGTGTACAAATCTTAGATCCCTCATCTTAGATTAGCTAAAACTTCACTTTTTTTTTTGGATAGATAATATATTAAAGATTCTTCCTTCCTTATTCATTCAGTACTTTTATCTGAAGATGGTAACAACGCTGAAACGTCACACACTATTTATTTATTTGGATTTGATCTTATTACCTTGTGTTTATAATCTATAATCCAAATTGTGCCTTATCACACACTATTTATTTATTTGGATTTGATCTTATTACCTTGTGTTTATAATCTATAATCCAAATTGTGCCTTATCACACACTATTTATTTATTTGGATTTGGTCTTATTACCTTGTGTTTATAATCTACTAGCCGAATGACCCGGGCAACGCCCGGGGTTTACCCGATTAAATGCTTTTATTCAAATACTATTCGTTACAATTATAAATTGGCGCCGTGGATGTCATTCTTGTATAATATATAAATGAGTTTTAAAATTGTAAAAAAAAAAAAAATGCATCGGCCGGGAATCGA